AATTAAAGCGAGATTAAAGTCAGAATGAATTTAAACTATTTCAAATGCTGATGAAAATCACTTACAACGGATGCTGCTCCTTGATGTTCAAAAGTTTAAGTTTACTGTAGAATCAGCTGGTCCCCTGAGCACTGGTCCTGACGTTGGGTTTCAGAGTGACTGCTTTCTCAAGCAGAGTGCTATGGAGTCACCCTTGTGTTTGCTAGTAAGCTGTGTGTGTCTCCACAAACACAGCAAGGCAAGCCAATCCTCTGCTCCCTCCCAAGCTAATAGATGAACAGTTGCTGGAGTCTGCTCTGTCCTTTGGGATCTTGTACTGGACAGGAAGTTCAGAGAACTTGGAAGCTGCTGTTGAGAAATATGATGACTAAGGGCCCTGTCACAACATCAGGAGTGCGTTTAGCCTCTGGAATGGACTGGAACTTAACCCAGCCGGCTAAGTTTTTTTAGGGGCAGGAGGGGGGTGTAGCAGTGCATCGAACTCTATAATAGCACTGCAACCACGACCCCCGCGGTGCGATCGCCGCCACCCGAACACGTGGCACATTAGTGCCCGCGTTCCGGTCCAGTGCGATCTGCAAAAAATTTTTAGTTATAATTTACCGATAGCGGGATTTCTATGAATCTTCCAGGACAGCAAGCCTACTTAGGATGCTGGCCTGGTAGATGATGGAGAAATATGATCGTACGATAATCGGCAGGTGTATGGGCAGCGTGCGACTGCTTCTACTGTAAGGGCGCATGACTTTCGTCTTCCAAGCACGCTGCAAAACCTGCCGAAAATCGTACAATTTTCGGCGGGTTAGAGGCATGCTCGGAAGACTAATGCCACACGGGACGGTAAGCGCACACTGCCCACTCAGCACTGCAATCATGTGATGCCCTCCTCTCAGGGGGGCGGGCTTGCGATGATCGCAAGTACGATCTGCCTGTCCAAGATGGGCAGATCGTACGAAATTTTAATCACCTTACAACCATCGCACAACGAAAGTCGTGCGATGGTTGTAAGGTGTATGGGCAGCTTTATACAGACAAGACTTCTGATTTCTGGATGATGCGAGAAGATTTAGATACTTACAAGCAAAGAGGTTACAGACACAGAGTGACCTTGCAGAACAGCCACAGGAGCGCACGTTCTTAGTGACCAAACTCTGATAATCTTTTCACAGCTCGCAGCAGCAATCAGAGTGTTTTCACAGTTCACAGTAAGTTCAGAGATCTCAGCTGAGTGACCTCTTAGTGTAGCTAGCAGCCGGCCATCAACTGCAGACCAGATCTTCACCAAGCAGTCATCTGAGCCCTATAATAATAAATACAAAATAAATAAAAAAACATGAGCCAACCCCCTTTTGGCCTCCACAAAGTGTGCTTCCAACTTTAATCTATCAGAGTACCATATTTGGCAAAAACAAACAAAATAGGACTAAGGTACCTTGTATTTAGGTGTCGCTCACAAGTCTTAAGACAACACAAGCAGCCACTAGACTTGTCCAGGTGCACTCATAGGGTATACACCAAGTACAACATAGCTTAGCTGGGGAGAGGAAGAAGCAGCACAAGAAGCCAATCAGTTGTGATGAGTTCTCATGTGCGAATAAGGGGAATGCTGTTAGGAGAGAGCTTCTCCAATCAGGCTAGAAGAGGGACAAGATGTGTAAATGTTACTTAAACAGGTCCCTTGTCCCGTCAGAAAGGGCTTTGCTGTGTACATCTCTGCACTGAATGGACACATAGCTGTTTTGCCTGGGGTTCAGCTTCAACTTAGGACCCCTGTTCCAAGGAAACTGGATCTTCGGGAAAGTGTTAAATTCACTTCTAGTGCATCCAGGCGCACATTTTCTAAGTATTATCTGAAAAACTGCATGCTAATATTTTTCTTCCTATGCACCATAAGAGGTTTTAAACTCCATGTTGGCCAGCTGGAAGCACTTTTGTAGCTCCGTACGACGTACGTCCTTGGCAGCGAAAGGGTTAAAGGAAGTAGTGATCAAAGAACAAGAAAACAGGTGTGAAAACAGCATTAGCAATCAACTGTCCTAGGCTGCTCTGTTTCAACACTTGTTTGCCTGTTAGAAGTGCAATGTAAAGGTGCCCATAACACTGCTCGATTCTCGTACGAGAATCGCAGGAAATCCCGCGATCGTACGAGAATCGAGCAGTGTGAACGGAGACGTGCGACCGTTTCTACTGTACGGTCGCACGTCTTCCGTCGAACCAGCATGTTCGAAAACCAGCCGGGAATCGTACGATTCTCGGCTGGTTAGAACGGTGCTCGGAAGACAAATGCCGAACGGGCCGGTGTGCGGCATTGCAGCATTGCGGTCATCAGAAGCCCGCCCCTCAGGGGGGCGGGCTTACGATGAGAGTGCGATCTGCCTGTCCAAAATAGGCAGATCATATGTTTTTTTAATCCCTGTACAACCATCGCAAGACTAAGGTCTTGCGATGGTTGTAGAGTGTATGGCCACCTTAAAGCTGGTCATACACCTTACAACCATCGCACGACTTTCGTTGTGCGATGGTTGTAAGGTAATTAAAATTCCGTGTGATCTGCCCATCTTGGACAGGCAGATCATACTTGCGATCATCGCAAGCCCTCCCAGCTGAGGGGAGGGCTTCCGATCATTGCAGTGCTGAGAGGGCAGTGTGCGCCTGCACACACGGTCCCGTGCTGCATTAGTCTTTCGACCACGCCACCAACCCGCCAAAAATCGTACGATTTTCAAGTGTGCTTGGAAGACGAATGTCGTGCGACCTTACGTTAGAAGGCGTCGCACGCTGCCTATACACCTGCCGATTATCGCACGATCGCGGGATCACCCAGATTATCGTACGATAATTGGCAGGTGTATGGGCACCTTAAGAGCAATCTACATAAGATATAGAAGAATATATATTATATATAAAAATACATTCATAAGTGGTTTGTCTTAGGACATTTTTAAAATGGAGTAGATATTGCTATCCCCTCTCCACTACATGGAGTGTCAGCAGAGCACAATCTGGGGGGGGAGGCGGGGTTTAAAGCTTCGTTCACACAGCTTTGAGGAACACAATGCCTAAGTGCTAAAGAACACTTGTCTTGAGCGTTTTGTCGCATAGGTTTCCAGTTGAAGTCTTTGGGAACAAAATGCGCTGTAATCTGCCAAAAAGTAGCTCATGTACTTTTTGTAGTGACATGCGTTTTTCTGCTTGCGACAAAATGCTCAAGTGTGAACAGAAGCCTCAGAAATAAATGAGATTCCTTGTCTTGAGTGTTTCGTCACACTTAGGCCCCATTCACACTGAGCGACATGAAAATCGCGCGATATTGAGCGACGTGTCGCACGACTTTTTCCTATTGGGCTGTATGCAATCAGGAGCAATATCGCTCAAAAAAAGGGTCATGTAGGAGCTACAAGCGATATTGAGCGACGAGATGTGAACAGCTCCATTGAAATGGATTGGAGAAGCTACATAGAGCGATATCGCGTGGAAATATGAGCGATATCGCTGCAAAAATCGCTCAATAAATCGATCAGTGTGAATGGGGCCTTAGGGCCCAGTCACACCATCAAGAGTGCGTTCGGCCTCTGGAACGCAACCCGGCCGGCTCACTTTGTTTTGGGGCGGGAGGGGGCGTGGTGATGCATTGAACTCAATAGCACCGCAGCCATGCCCCCCACTCGTGGTGCGATCGCCAGCAACCGAACGCGTGGCACATTAGTGTCTGCATTCCGGTCCAGTGTGATCTGCAAAAAAATAGTGCATGCAGCATTTTTTGCAGATCGCACTGGACCGGAACGCAGACACTAATGTGCCACGCGTTTGGGTGCCGGTGATCGCACCACGAGTGGGGAGGCGTGGCTGCAGTGCCATTGAAATCAATGCACCGCCAAGCCCCCTCCCGCCCCAAAACAAAATGAGCCGGCCGGGTTGCGTTATAGAGGCCGAACGCACTCTTGATGGTGTTACTGGGCCCCTAACCTTTGATCGACAAAATGCCTAGGTTTGCACAAGGACTAAGGAGGCAAAAACACAGAGGAACAGAGAGACTGAGAGAAGATAGTTTAAGAAGCACAGGCCACAGTGGAGAGGAGAGCAAACAAATGGAACAATGCAGGAGAGCAGAAAGATGGTGTATGAGCACTGAGGGTGTAAAGCTGGGTGAAAGAATATTGACTTTTGGAAGGAAAGATAAGTGCCCCTTCTTTCTTTAAAGTATAAAAGGACAGGTTAGAGGAAATCTGTCATGAGAGAAATACATTGCTTCAGCACAACATCCAGTCATTTTCAAGAGTCAGAACAACTGCTTTGTTTATTTGATTACAGGTTCCATTTATAGGTAATACGAGGGGACCTTCTGACTCGACCCTAAAATTGGCTCAAGAATTGTTCATTTATTGATTTAGAATAAGCCAACTCACAGTGAAAAGTCTTTGACCAGACCGGTCAAATGCAACACAGTAGACAGAAGAGAGGTGACCCAGAATCCTCTTCTGCATTTTGATCTGCTGGTACATGGATACAGGAAATGCAGAAGTAAACTGCATGGCTCCGGTAAGATGTTTCCCTTGATGGACATCCACTACAAACACACAAACAGAAAGTCACAATGTAATGGAAGCAATTCATTGGTGTTATTAGGATGCAACATACATATGAACAGGTTTTTGCCATACCAACAAAGGGTGGTTTCCTCTTGGCAACAGGCACTTCTGGCGGTCTCCCACGTTGAAGCGTGGCAAAGGATTTCTGGCTCCACTGAGCATTTCTAGGACCTGAAGACATGTAGACAGCAAAAGGAAGGAAAATGTATTAATGGGAACGTGCACTCTTCTGGCCTGTTAAATATACCATTGCAAGCATTTCCTTATATCCATTTTGTAAGTGCAAAAAATACTTGTTAATTGTGCCAACAATCTAGCGAGCCGATAACTTATTGGGCTCTCTGCACACAAGAGGGTGTGGAAATAAGGCCTGCATGTTCTATGTAAGGGTTAGTCCACACCATAAGTAGTGTGTTCCGGTCCGATTCTGACAGGAACGCACTGCCAGGCATTGAGCAAGGCTCACTTTTTTGCCGGGCAGGAGGGGGCGTGGCGGGCCATTGAAGTGAATGGCACCGTAGCCACACACCCCCCGGCCGCAATGCGATCGGCCGCACGGGATCGCAAGGCACATTGTGCCTGCAGTGCGGTCTGTTGCGATCAAAATCGTGCTTGCAGCATTGTGATCGCACCGGACCACACTGCAGGCACAATGTGCCTTGCGATCCCGTGCGGCCGATCGCATTGCGGCCGGGGGGTGTGTGGCTACGGTGCCATTCACTTCAATGGCCCGCCACGCCCCCTCCTGCCCGGCAAAAAAGTGAGCCTTGCTCAATGCCTGGCAGTGCGTTCCTGTCAGAATCGGACCGGAACACACTGCTTATGGTGTGAACTAACCCTTAAGCAAGAAGGCTGGGCTGACAAGTGTATGAAGGCAAAAATACACAGCTGTCATGGCAAAGAGGAAGTCTGGAGCATGCTATATTTCTGGCACACAAGTTATTTTCTTGTACCTGCAGCGTGTTTAAAAAGGTAAAGGGATTGCGAATGTATTTCAGGGATGTACAAAATAACAGCATTTTTGTATTTATCGTAAAAATGGTTTCTTTTAGACAGAGTTCAGTTATCCTAATACAACTGGGTTATACTGCCCCCTACAGGAGGATATGGGCATTTACAAACAATGAAAAAGGTTGGCCAGCAAGGCATCAGATGAGGCTCGAACATAAACCTAATAAAATGTCGGAAAAGCAGTGTATGAACTGAAGATGAGGTAGCAGCCTTGCAAGCCTGGTTAACAACCGCCTGGTGTCTAAAAGACCCAAGAAGCACTCGCAGATCTAGTAGAGTGTGCCATGACAGTAAAAAGGTAGAAACCAAACCAGAGAAATAATTTGGAGTGACAAAAAGTCAGTCTAATAGAAAATAAACCAGTACAGCTCAAACTACATCCATGCAGCGATAGGAGAACATTTCCTTCTGATGTACTGGAGCTGACCATAAAAGATGGAAGAGCAATGTCTCAATTAAGGTAAAAGGTCAAGCCATTTTAGGAAGAAAAAGAGGATCTAGACCCTACTAACAGGTAATACCTTTTCCTTGCAAAAAAACAGGTAGGGTTCTGTAAATAAGGTTGCTAGCTCAGACACAAACCTCCCAGAGGGAATGGCAAGGAACGCAATCTTGTAAGTAAGCATGTCAAGAGGAATAACGGAACTAAATTTAAATTCCACAACATCATTGCAGGTTGTACAGGAAGGGCACAAGAGATGCACCGTGTACAAAATTATTGGCCAATGAATGGAAGACGAGAGGTCTTTGGAATAAAAAACAGTCAGTGAACCCACAGCACTCAAAAACGCTTTCTCCAAGTAGTAGAATAGGGTGCTGCGTCTGTCGACGGCTGGCAACCGTCACAATCAAAGTAAGAAGTGAGACACCGGCACTCCAATTGCAAATCATAAACGTCTGTTTATTGACGTAAATGCAGCATAAATACACTCCGTGCACGTGAAAAATAGTGAAAAATAGGATTTTGTTTGCACCATAAAATCCGTTCCTTAGAGTCCATTGAGGGACATAGCTCTGAGGAAATCTGATACATGGGGTTATGCTGCTGCCTCTAGGAGAAAGACTGAAAAGCAACCAGCAAAACCCATTACCCAAAGTTCAGATTCCAGGCGAGCCTTGCAATCTTCAGTCTATGGGGTCAAGATACAGCCTCCAAGGCATCACTGAGGAAACACAGATCCAGACAAAAAACTAAGCTCAGCAGCATGCAGATGAAATCTTGAATGGACCCAAATAAGCTTTTAAAGAAAATAAATTAAACGAGTAAACTTTTACCAGTAGAGAAAAGATGTCCGTCCTCGTAGGCCACTTGCAAAAAAAACTGAAGCATGTGGGAGGGGTTTTACCTGCCTGACTAAAGGCTTTTGTTTGCCAGTGCCCAATTCCTTCTGTAGGCAGCACTATAGCCCAATTGCCTCAGGACACCTGAATCCTGTGTCCCTCAAGTAATGCAAAAAATATATTATATCTACTGAAAGCAGGTGTCCCGGGATATCCCTTTTACACACGATATTGGATAACAATTGGAAATATACACTATAAAAAGAAACCTGGCAAGACAGAGAAATGGGAACTGCTACATCAGACGTTCTTCATGCATGCTCCGCGATTGCTACTATTCTGTCCTTGCAAAGGAGTTCATCACAGATGAAGAAAAAGCAGTGTGCAGCAGGACTGGTAAGTCTGTTCTGGGCCAGTAGACACAGAAGCAAAGATGACAACCCTGGAGACTGAACCTAAAAACACCAGTAATTGCACATTCTATATGTTTGCCCTAACAAACTCCAATTAAGCACAAAACCTTAAAGTCGACCTGTACAAAGGGAAAAGCATAAGCCGTCATTAATGATTTTTTTTTTTCCAGTAAATGCTAGTTGCCTAGCAGTCATACTGATCCAGTGGTTCGGGCACTGTGTACTTTTTGTGGGAGCGCGACTCCAAACAGGTGTTTTGGGTTCACGCTAACTTCACTAAAAGCACGCATGTTCAGGTCAGTAAACGATGTGGGGGGAAGGAATCAAAACTGGAGCAGACAAAATCTGGAGCAGATTTTCACTGTGCTCAATCAGCTTCTCTCTCATTTACAAATCTTACCTGAGCAAACTGAAGAGAGATGATGATGATTGGTTGCCATTCGCAAATGCTCCAGTATTTAAGCCAGCCATTGAAGGGCAAAGGGCATATCTGGAACATGGTCAGGAAAGCACTACATATTTGTAGAAGTACAGGTTCTCTTTACAAAGAAAAGAAAGCACTCATCAATATACCTTTTTCTGCACGTAACGACTGTTTGACAAGGCCCAGCAGAGAGCTTGCTCTGGACAGTTTGGCTGGAGAGTGGTTATCAAGAAATGACGTTAAACTCTGGCATAATTTCAGCAAATGGTCAGGAGCTACACACTTATTAGCCGACACCTGCAAGTAAATAAAACATCATTATCTGTGATGGTTCTAATATATCAAGGTCATTGAATAAAGAGTTAGTAACATTCAACTGGACTTGTTCTATAAATGTCAATAATGTTTTGCTGCCTATCCAAGCAGCTTCTTTGGTTTTAATGAAACATATACACAAGCATTTATAGCAGGGGTTCTCAACCTTTCTAGGGCCGGGACCCCTTGGTAACATTTGCCAAGTTGTGGTGACCCCCAACAGTAAAATGTAGGGATGACGCGGCTGCTGCAGCGACATCTGGGTGGCGTGGCGGGGGAACTGACACTGCTGCGCTAGGAGAGGGCTGAGGAGGACTCACCTTATTATTGTTTATTTTTTATAATTTTGTTATTTTTTAATCATTTGTTTCTTATTTCTTTTTAATCGCTTTTTAGAATTATTTTATTTAAATTTTTATTTCTTTAATAATGTTTTTATCTATTTTTTTTCCACTTAACTTAATTGCTATCACACAGAGGTAACAAGCCCCTGTGTAATAGCAATTGGAGGTGACAGGTTCTCTTTATTGACCCTGTCACCTCCAATACATGAGTCCTTGCTTAGCACTGTGCTGGAACTTCTGTGACAGGTGAGAGGGGAAGACTGCTATCCGCTCTCACTGTGCACATGGAGCGGCATGATGGAAAAGTTTTTTTTTTTTTCTGACTGACAGAGGGCCCGATGTCAGAAAAAAAAAAAGAGCAGAGAAAGCGCTTCTCTCCTTGGTGGCCGGAAGCCGCTAGGCGACCCCTGGCAAGTCATTCGACCCCCAGGTTGAGAACCACTGATTTATAGCCACACACAAATTGCTAAAAAACTCTGCAACAATAGGTTGAGAAGATGGCAAAACCCAGACGAGCGAACAGACGGGAAAGAAGAATACAGAGAGTAACTTCTCTGGGCAGGTTAATAACACCTCCTGGCTCCAATTATGCAAGTGCAATCAACACCTGGTTGCGACTAACAGATTATGTGGATTGGAGCGACATTCACCATATTTATTCCCAGATAATTTTTTGTACAAGTCATTCTGAATTGAGAAAGCTGGTCGGATGACCAGTGAAACGTCTTCAAGAAAAATACAGCAGGTCCAGTTGCCTTGACTTATTTTTTACAGATATTCCACGACCTGGGTGAATGAGAACCTTCACAGACATACTGCACATGCCTTGTATTTTTCTTGCAGAATAAAAGATGTTCTGTGACAGAGGGGGACAGGGATGTGACATAATTTCTCTTACTTCAATCACAGAATGCCTTGTGTTCTGCAAGAAAAATACAAGGCATTTTGTGTAAAGGCACTTAGTGAGGAGAGGCAGGGAAGTGACTGGTGCACTTCACTGCTCAAGTCTCATTCCTCTCTTCCCGCAGCACCCCGGAAGCCGAGGGTTACATGTAGGAGCCAGCACGCTGCAAAATAAGAAATGTATACCTTTGCAGCCGCCCTCCACACATATTATGCGTTTTTTAAAACCCCACACCCAGTCCGGTGTGTAAATTATCATTTTGTTTTCAGAGTTTAGCTTGAACTGTGATGTTGGTGTTAGTGCACATGTAATCACCTTAAGCTTTCTAACATTTCCAAAGCCAGAGAAACAGTAAATGTAGAAGACTCTGCTTTATAGCTGTATTTGCTCAGTGATTTACACCCCTTAACCCACGCTTAATTTAGAAAGGAGGCTATGGGGTGCATATAGGTCCTTGAAATCAATATCCAGTCGAATGAATTTAGTTGCCCGAAGGGTAATCTGTGTAGCCAAGACTGCTTGGAATTCCAAAAATGTATCTAATGAAACACTGCATGTGTGAGCGATGTTGACAGTAAAGCGGGAGTAAAACGCAGAGTACACAATATGTAAAGCTATCCATGGACTTGAGAGAATGGTCGTTCCTGCAGGCAAGAAGCGCCATTCTCACAGCAAGCTGTGAAGCAACCTCAATGCACTCCATGAAACTGCACTACAGGTCTTGAGAACTTTACAAGCTTATGTCAATGGAGAAAAGGATAGAAAATAAAAAGAGGAAGATGACAGTGCTGCCTTATCAGAGGGGAACCAAAAGGGATTAGGCCAGGTTGTCCCCAAAACAGCCAGAACAATGTTCATGATGGGTCCTTAATGGGATGAAATGAACATGTGAGTAGGGAATGCACCGATACTTGGCATTTTCATGAGAACTAGTGAGTGTGTGTGTGTGTGTGTGTGTGTGTGTGTGTGTGTGTGTGTGTGTGTGTGTGTGTGTGTGTATATACACACACATATATATATATATATACACACACACACACACCCCACACACACATATATCTATGTATGTACAACTACAATCATAATCTCACAAATTTTTAGATTTGTGGGAAGACTTAACATTCAGTAAGTACCTTCATTATTACTTTTTGTTTTTCTTCAAAATGTATTTCTTACAGTCAACTGTTTGGGTCTAATTTTTTTGGGTTTTTATGAGAGCTAGTGAGTGTGTGTGTGTGTGTGTGTGTGTGTGTGTGTGTGTGTGTGTGTGTGTGTGTGTGTGTGTGTATATACACACATACATATATATATATATACACACATACACATACACCACACACATATATATATTACATTAAAACAGAGGAGCTCAGTGTGCTCCTTACAAATGACATCTGCCTCCTAACTGTTGAATTTTTCTCTAATCTTCTAATCTAGTCTTGGAGTTCGAAGACATATCTGTACTTGTACCAACTCCGGTACTTGGTATCGGTGCATCCCTACATGTGTGGAAGGAAATTTGGAAACTGCCATTGCTGACTGGGAGCTTGCTTATAACAGAAATAAGCACAGGACCGATCCCACTAATGTTCTATTGCTCCTTCAAGGTCTAACCAGACGGTTGAGGGAGAAGAGAGGACCATTTTTTCCCTATTAGAGAGGGAGGGCATGAATACGTGCACATGAAGACTGCTTGCTGATAAAAGTAGTATATACATGTGGATCATATCATTGAGATGCACAAATTATTTTGTTTGCAGTTCTTCTTTAAAAAAGGAGAACTATGAGGGGCGTGCTTTTCACTCACCTCATAGTTCTAGCCGACCTGTGACAATGAGACTGTCACAGGTCGGCTCAGTAGATCGGGAGGTGAGCGAACACATACCGGCGTTCGCTCACCTCTCGATCCTGTCACGGCTCTCTGCCATGACAGGGGAGGGGCTGGATTCCCCCCGCTCCGATCCGCCAGTGCTGAATGGCGGAACGGACGGGGGATGGGGCGGGTACAGCTGGCTGTGCCTCTAGATAGGCAGAGCCAGCTGTCAGTCACACAGCTGGGCGGATCCCCGCACAATTGTCGGGATCCGCTTCAGCTGCGGCGTCTCAGTATACCGCGAGCTGTAGCTAGGGCGACGGTAGGACGCTAGTTTGTGTCCTCCCGTTACCCTAAGGAGAACTATGGGGAAAAGCCTTAACCCCATAGTTCTCCTTTAATGCAAAAAAACATTTAGAAGATCATCTTCAGAAAACTACCATTACTAAAAGGAAACCGGCACAAAGACAATGAAATCACACAACAGAAAGGACTGTGCCAGTCTTAGCAAAGTGTCCAACATAAAAATCGTCTGCATCACCCATTAGTCAGAATCCTACTTTCCTCTCAAATTGTGATTTTCCAGCACTTTGCGGCAAATGAAAAATGTCACACGGGCACCTCAGGCTCATTGCGCTGTGCATGTCAAACAGTTCACACACCATAAATCATACAATAACACAGCAGAAAATGACACTGCGCTTACCATTTCATCATATGTCCTACTGTGTTCATTGCCCTGCCAATCCAATCTGTTTGGAAGTAGCTAAAATACAAAAGTGAATGAAAAAACTAAGACATTACTTTTCACAACTCAAGGCTTAAAAAGAAAAGCTTGTCATTATACCAACCACTGCTTGGCTATGATTTTCTCAATATATGCCGTGTATGGATAATGGTAATGATGGATATTAACATGACTGTGAAATTAATATCCAAAAAATTGATTATATGTTTGCAATAGACAAATTGGCCTCATAACCCTTGAGAAAGCTGACCTGCGAAATGCGTTGGGATCAAAGCAACGCATGCCACAGTGGAAGAATGATAGATTCAAACCATATTCATATGAATGGACTGCACAATAAGAAATAGAAGTATATACTGTTTTAAAATACGAATAGAGATGTGTAATGTTAACGTGGCAGTGGAAGGCAAAATCTAAGGAGAATTTATATGCAAACATGGTTTTGCATTATGATAACTTTTATATGGAATAAATTGATGTTGAATCTTATCAAAGGTTCAAGTCTGATGCCTCTTAAAACCCCACAATACTATGTCTTATCAAAGGTTCAAGTCTGATGCCTCTTAAAACCCCACAATACTAAGTATACTGTGAATGCAATTGAGAAGGGGTGAGGTACCAGAATATCTGGGCTCCAGTAGAATTCTGGAGCAAATAGAGAACCCATCTAGGATGCAGTGTACTGTAAATACATGCACTTGCCACTGCTGAAGTAATCAGATTTAAAGGTCACCTGTAGTCTGAAAGTTCTCGACATTTCGTCTGCCTGATCTCATATACTCTCTCTGCCAACTCTTCAACATGACGTCATTCAGTGGAAAGCAGCAATTGGCAGAATTCCGCTGACTGCCACTTTAAAGTATTGGGCTCAGATAAAAGGGTAAACCCAAATCTTTTATAAGCAAGCCTGCAAATCTGTAATAAAAGGACTTAAAGGGTTATTAAAGGAGAACTAAGGTTGTGTGATTTTCACTCAACCTCATAGTTCGAGCCGACATGCGACAATGAAACTGACTCACCGAGTCACCCACGGCTCCCTGCAGGGATTCCCCTGCCCCTCTCCGATCCTCCAGCGCTGACTGGCGGAACAGACGGGGGAGGGGGTGGGCACAGCTGGCTCTGCCTCTGGATAGGCAGAGCCAGCTGTCACTCACGCAGGTGGATCTCGACAGTAATGTCGGGATCCGTCCTGGCTGCGGCGGTCTCAGTATACCACGAGCTGTAGCTTCCTATATACTGAGCTTTGGGTCACGGGAGGTGGTTAGTACAGGTGAAACTCGAATAATTAGAATATCGTGCAAAAGTAATTGCAGTAATTGCTGCAAAAGGGGCCCAAACCAAGTACTGAGTACATATGCATGCTTGTACTTTTCAGAGGTCCGATATTGTTCTATGTACAATCCTTGTTTTATTGATTGCATGTAATCTACTTTTTTGAGGTTGTGGATTTGGGGTTCTTGGGGTTTTCATGAGCTGTAAGCCATAATCATCACAATTATGACAAATCACGGCTTGAATTATCTTGCTTTGCATGTAATGAGTCTCTCTCATATATTAGTTTCACCTTTTAAGTTGCATTAGTGAAAGTGATTTTCTCTTGTTCAACCAAAAAGGTATCCAAATAACAGAACCAAAGAAAAACATACTGGCTACCTTTATAGGGGATAGACTAGAACTCCTGTTACCTTCGCCTCTTAAATGAAGTTCTGGCTTGGTATAAATGGAGGATAGAACAGGGTTTTCTAATCATACTTGCTGTCCCAATCTGTGTGTATAGACAACCTTACTAAAGTGGTTAGGTCAGTTCAAACAAAGAGAAATTACTGGCCTGGTCTAGCGTGCATACTGAAAAATAAAATGAGATTAGTGCTTACCTTGTTTTCATTTAGCTCCTGTACCAGCATCTGCACAAAAAGAAAATGGATATAAATTCATTTTGTTGACTTGTCAAGTCTATTGCAATGGTTCACAACCAATTTGAAAATTGAAACTGTTATAGAGCACCTTTGGTATCAAAGAACACAATTTGCTTCAAAGAAAGTCAGCGAGAAGGAAAGCACTGCCTTCACTTTGCCAGTGATTAAGGTTTTGGAGGAAGCAAAAATGGTGAAAAAGTAAACGTGATACAAAAATCTCTATCTAGAGATCTCTATCTAGATATATACACACACACACACACACACACACACACACACACTAAAAAATTGCATACCCTCAGTGAAAACTACAGGTCAACAGGATCAGAGATATAAGCAGCTGAAATTTAAGAGCCAGATTCTGTGTGGAGGTGACCATTGTGGTAGAGGCAGGGTTTTGTTCTCTCAGGTCAGAGCTGTCCCCTTGATAATAAGTGAGTAGTAACAGCAGGAGGAGAAGTGCAGAAAGCCCGGATCCAAGAAATGAATGAAGCAGGGAGATTCTTGCACTGCAGGTCCTCAGGTACAGGTCTTTCTCCAGCAAGGAGAACAGCGAGCAGCACAGTAGTGACATCACCAAACCTCACTCCAAGTAATTGAAGGCGAGCAGATGCACAGCTATGAAGCTCATAGTAAGATGGCACTCCTGTGTTTTCTCTCTCTTCCACTGAGGGACACCGGAGTTAAGAAACACAAGTTGAGTTGGATTTACTGCTGCCTACAGGTTTACAATGCTGGCAAACAAATAAATCCTAAGCCAACCCTTGTATGACCCCTTTACCCAGCATGCCTTGGTTTTGCACAAGTTGTACCAAGTCTAAGCCACTCCAAGTAGGGCCCAGGAACTTTAAAGATGTTTCCAGTCCACATAGAGGAATGAGTGAAATAACAGGTGTAGAAGAACAGTCTTTGCATTGAAAACAGCAGGAGACAGCAAAGGAGATAGATTGTTGGAAGTGGTTTGATTCAAGGGCCCAGGATGGTCGTGTTTAGAGCTTCTGCGGGTAAAATGCTCTAGTAGGCAAACACAAACAATTGAGGCCTCAATCTCACCCAACACGGCTCAGAGGGACTTCGATGAAGACGACCTCTATAACAATAGGGGTCCCAGATTTCAGATTACAAGTGCTGGGTCCTTAGAATGACAAGTGAAACCCCCGGGAATCACTAGGGGCTGTGGTCACCACTAGCAGTGGGACTGTCCTCTGTGTGCCTTAGCGAAGACATACCGCTTCTGCATACCGGTAATGCAACAAAGCTCCAAATTAGTTTGCCACTGACCGGGGCGCCTACGTCAGCTTTTTTTTTTTTTAACCACTTGCCGTCCACCCGTTGTAAAAAAACGGACGGACGGCACTGCAGGGTTGCGTCTCCATAGCTCGGCGATGGTCTATATGTGCTCGTTTTTTCGGCCGCCCCCTCACCTTCAATCCCGGGATCCGCTGCCCCATCTGCGGCCTGGGACTGGCTCCGAGGGCGTCAGGAGGAGGAGGACGGGAGATCAGCTCCAGGAGGCGGCGCTATAGAGGAGGCATCGGCTTATGCGGGACTGCTCCTTCCGCTGCCGCCTCGTTTCCTCTAGCGCTGGCACCGCTGATTCTCTCCCGCGGCTCTTCAAGTTCCCCCTTATGCCACCACCGCGCTGGGAATGGTCACAACTAGGGCTTATTTCCGGGGAAGGTCTTATTTTCGGGGAAACAGGGTATGTTCCTTTGCACATAACCCCCCCCCCGGACTGACCCGCCAATTCCCGTAGATGGCATTCATCACCCACCTCTGTATAGTGCGCAGCATCGCCGCCTTCCGCGAATCTGCCGCTCCAGGCAAACGCCTTGTTTGCCTCGCGGCAGATACGCCCCTGCTTGTACCTGTGCAAGTTGTAGGTCAGGTCTGAGCCTGTCAACATATGACATCGCTCAGGCCTAGCAAATGGTTGTTAATGCATGAAGCACTGCAATGTGGGAAGAAGGCAAGAGGTGCAGGTTTTCCCATAGCTGGAAGTACTGGGTTTCTTAGGGCCCCAGTAGGCAAATGGATACCAGAGGAGCATTACCAAGGCAAGTGCATTGGAGAGAACCCGCCATGCTGGTAATCTATCAACAGAAATGACGGGTCCTTCCAGTGGTACGCATCCCAAGTTTGGACAAGAAGAATGACAGCTTTTGCAGCTCTGAGGCAACACAGTTCTCTGTTCAGACAGTTTCATAGACAAGTCTGAAGCCGCACAGGCAAGTGTAGTTTTCCGGTTCTAAATATTGCTTTAAATAAAAGAGATTTCACAAACATGTTTTATTGGTCATAAATCTGTAAAACTTTAACAAAATAAAAAAGGCACATTGCAGAGACCACACAGGGGGATGGTGAAAACTTATGGCGCTCCGAGTACAATAAAAAGATAAGAAAAGAAAAATAGAGGATTGTATATTGTGTATCTATGGGTTCTGGGCCTTTGCAAACATGTTTTAAACCACTTGCTGACCGGGGTGTTTATACCCCCTTCCTGTCCAGGCCATTTTTCAGTATTCAGCGCTGCGGGACTCTGACTGATGTTTATTCCGTCATGCAACGCTGTACTGAAATTTTATACCATTTTTTGGGGACAGACATGGCTTTCTTTTGGTGGTATTTAATCACCATAGGGTTTTTTTTAAACTATATAACAAAGTACCCTAAATTTTGGGGGAAAAACTGTTTCCCTATGAAAGGTAATGAAACATTATCACCCCAAATTTTTAGGTAAAATATAAAAGACGGGGTCACATCAGGTAAATAGACACTAAACATGTCAAGCCTTAAAATTGTGCATGCCCGCAAAATCGCAGAAAACGACCACACCCAAAAGTGTCATAGACGACACTTTATAAAGATTTTTACCTCTCATGAGTTTAGTGTTATCAGTGATTGATGGCCCTAGAATTATTGCTCTCACTGCAACGTTCGTGGCGATATGTAACATGTGTGGTGTAATGGGCGCAATCGTCATTTTCGCACATAGGCGCACACGATGAATGTTTGCGTGTGCATGTGGGGGGGGCGGGGGACTTTAAAAAAAAAAAATGTGTGTGTTATTTTACATGTTTTTTTTATTTATCTTTTTTAAGCTTCTTAATTTTTTTTATGGGACCCCCAGAGAAGCTGATGAAGCAGAGATCTGCTTCACCAGCATCTGTTGCCGGAGAGTGACACTGAATGCGGAAGTGATGTAATATCCCATTTGGCTGCAATCATACCGTCTGCCTCTACAAGGATCACATTGAATATTCCCCCGTGTATTCTGGAGGTCTGTATATTTCAATCCCACTCACTGATTTTAGAGACAAGATCTGGCTCCCAAAACGTACGCATTGGTTAGTTTGAAATGGTGGAGAGCACAGCTGGTACAAAACGAAAATAGCATCCATTCACCCCGTCACCCCCCTTATTGAGTGCTCGCAGACTTCAATGGGAACACCTGTATACGCGATACACAGGCGTTTTCTACACAGGCGTTTTCTATCATTCTTTTAGGTGTTTTGCCATATGTTTGTCACAGAAGAGCTAGCCTACCTCTTTGTAATAAACACTGGAGAACCAAAGGGAGGACAGCATAAACTGAAAACGTGCACCACTTTGAAAACGCTTGACAAACGCACGGAAAGTGCTAAAAAAAAACGCCTGAAACGCTGACGCTTAGATGTGAATGGAGTCGGGCCTGTACACACGACGTCCGTTTTCTGTGCTGAGCTGATCCGTACGCTCCTGCACTAAAAATGCATCCCAATGTATCCCTATGTGTTTTATGATCTACAGTTCATGTGCGCAGTCCGTTCAGGTTATGACAGAAAAAATACTGCATGTCACATTTTGTACGGTCAGGAAACGGACCGGAACCGCAAAACGCGTCAAAAACGCACTGCATCAGTAGCACTGCGTCTGCAGATCCGCACCTGATCAGGACCCGATATCATGTGAACAGGCCCTCAGGGCTGCAACTCTCATCCACAGCAGCTGAAGCAAAGCGAGAGCTCTACTATCCTGTGTGAAGAAAAATGGTGATATTAACAGGATAGAAGACGAAGGTTCACAGCTGAGCGTTCGTACTCGAAAGTACATGCGCAATTTCCTGGGCGGTTCCTGTGCATTCTGATTGTGGTTGTAGCCGCAAACGCGCGGAAAAACGCGCGTCTTAAAATCTGCAAATTTTTTTCCGCACGTACATACGCTCAAAAAAACGTGCTAAATTGCAAACGCTCAAGTGTGGATGGAGCTTAATGCAGTTCTAGGATACACCTCCACACCACTAACCGTTATTTACACACATGAGATTTTAAAAAAATAAAGCTTATGCTTGGAGATGGGATTGAAAAATCCCCAATATAATGCAGCTGAAAGGTTTGAGGTTTTTAAAGTGTTTGGCTAAAGGTATCTGATGTTACAATTCCCTTTTGATCAAGGTAATGTCCTATCCATTATAGACCCGTGTCTTTCCACCATGTAAACTGTTGGTGTTGCATTTCAGGTAGGAATGATGGACTGGTAAAGAAAAGATCCAAGATAAGACATGGAGACGCTAAAGGAGAGGGTTCTGAAGTTTCTGCAACATGCTCATTATCATGGCTGTTCTGCCCATCCAGGGAATAAGCGGACCACAATACCATCTCCCCTGTCCATTTGGGGAAAAGAGGGATGTTAGGTCATTTATAGGGCATGGAAATATCAGGTACGTTTCATTCCCACATATAGGAGGGTGGCCGGTCTACAAGAGAAGGTGAAGTGGGTTTTAAGATTTGTTATTGAGGAATTAGAGAGAGACTGACATTTAAAGCTTCCGACTTGCTGGGACCAACGTCAAGTCCCGATATGTTCACAAAAGCCTTCAGGATGTAAAACACAATAGAACATTTATGGTGCGTGTCTCCACTAGTATTGCCCGCAACATTTCGGTTCAAAAGAACCTTTCTTCCACCATGATAAACCAAAGGGATGTTCAGATACCAAGTACCATACTTGGTACAAGTACAGATACTTTTCCAGCTCCCAAAGTAGACTTTTCATAACCCCATCATAACTGGTAAAGCCTTCACCAAAGCAGAACACAGTTATACTGTAGAAAGCATAGTTACATAACTATACGAAGTATGAACTCAGATGATAATACTGACCCTCAGACCTACACAGCAACCAAGAACGCCTTATTGAAACTGTCATCAGTTACCGTGTAGACGGTTGGTTTAGATATTCGAAAGAACTCAGATGTCTCCCATACTGAGATCCTCAACACATCCCAACCATGATGCCTTACTGAATCGAGCCAAGTTCCTGAAGTGTAGCATTAGCAGTGCAGGTAGAAGGGACACAGATGATATCCATAACCACCTCGAGCCACAAAAATTGGTTGCTTTTTAGGCAGTCTAACATGCTCATACTCATGGTATGCACAGATACTGAAATTCATAACACGTTATGAATCAAAAAAACCTCACCTTAAGCAGCCAAAAAAAAGGTATACCGGGTACGATATATAAGCACCAACAATGAATGTATGCGCATATACTGATACTCACGGCTGCCCTAAGAACCAAAGACATTTCCACAAAAAATGAAAGTTGGTTGCTTTAGAGGCAGACTGATGTGCACATACACATGGAATGCCCATACACTGAAATTCAAATTCATAAACTCAATTAAGCAGTAAGTGGTTATTCCGGACCCAGTATATAGGCACTAATAACAAAGTTATGCACAAATACTGCGATTCCCCACTGCCCTATGAACATTTTTATTTTAAGTGTGGGTGATGTGTTTCCTGTTCCGGTGGGAGGAGCCTATCTCTCTAATGCTGTCCTGGAAGGTGACTAGAGAAAACTCAAATGTTAGGAGGCAGCTGTTATTTTTAAGGAGAATTGGCCAAATCACACATTAAAAACAGGGATACACCAATCCCACCTGCACCGATACAGATACTGGTATCCGTACAACCCTAACAGAAGGAAGGACAAAGGCACCCTCCCCCATCTTATACCCCTGATAATGTCAATAGTAGCATTATTCTGTCTCATTAGGCACACGGAACTGCTTTCAAAACCCAACTTAGCCAAACTTAAGTGACAGGTGCACTTCAAACAACGTATAGAAGCGGCTTTCGGTGGCAAGGGCCCCCAGAGGCTTGGAATGCACTGCTGAGTATAATTACATGCGGCACACTGGAGCAAGAACATGCCTTTGCTAAATGACAACTTGCTTACTCTGTATTTTTAAACACACATGGGGGGTCTGCACATACTATCTTGCCACTGAAATGTTTGTGTGCTGCAAACATAATAGAAAGAAAGAATTATGCAAGCAGCAAATGCAGAACCCCCCAAAAAAAGCTTAATTTTCTTTCATTATCCTTTTAGGTAACAGAATTATAGAGTAAACATGCATTGCAGCTCCGAATTTTAAAGATAAAACAAAGGTATTTAACCAGTTGACATCCGCGGTGTTAAACCCCCTTCCCATCCAGGCCATTTTTCAGTATTCAGCGCTGCGGTACTTTGACTGACATTTATTCCGTCATGCAGCGCTGTACTGAAATGAATTTTATACCCTTTTTTGAGGACAGATAGAGCTTTCTTTTGGTGGTATTTATTCACCACTGGGGTTTTTATTTTTTACTATAATAAGGAAAAATTACCGAAATTTAAAAAAAAAAAAAAGTTTCCCCTATATTAAATGATAAAACATTTATTATTACCCAATTTTTTGGTAAAATATAAAAGACGGGGTCACGTCGGGTAAAAAGACACCAAACATGTCAAGCCTTAAAATTGCGTGCGCGCGCGAAACCTCAAAAAACGATAATACCCAAAATTGGCCCTAGGCGACGCTTTAAAAGCTGTTACCGCTCATCAGTTTAGTGTTATCAGTGATTGATGGCCCTAAAATGATTGCTCTCACTGCGACGTTCGCGGCGATATGTAACATGTGTAGCGCAATTGTAATTTTTGCGCGCTGGGGCACCGGACGCGTATTTACGTTTATAGGCGCGTAAACGTGGGGGTGGGGGAGTTAAACATTTTGGGGGGTTTTTTTCCCCTTTTTTTATTTTACTTTTTTATATGTGACTTTTATTTATATTTATTTTTTTGCACTTATTGTTATTGCTATTATATAGGGGGATAACAATCCCCCTAAAAAAAGGGGGCGCTTTGGAAACGAGCACATATAGACGATCGGCGGGCTATGGAGCCGCTGATCGCCTATATGTGAAACACCTGGTAACGGATGTTTGCATTGGTCGGGTCCTTTCTGCCCGTGCGTGCCCGCTAGGGGGCGCACACAAGCAGAAAAAAAATGCCGTCTGGCGACGGCAACCCGCCAATGCTGCAGTGCCGTCCGTCCACAACCTGAGCCAGCACTACAGGAAGAGGCACTCAGCTGCAAAGGGAAGTTCTCCCCCAGCATGAGAAGAGATAAGGATTTAAAAGGAAGAGCAGCAAAGAGAAGGGAAACTACCATGGATTACAGCAAGGCACACATTACAGTATTGGTTTATGTTAAAAAATCTGAGGGTTTAATGTCACTTTAAAGATGAATACACTTTTTTTTTAATAAGTCTAATATGTTACAGTTTGACGGTTATGGGAATGTTTTTTTCAAATTCAATTCCGCTTTAAGCTGACTGGTCTATAATTCACAGGCACGCTTCTCAAACCTTTATTAAATATTGGTACAACAGTTGCTTTACGCCAGTCAGCTGGTAGCTCCGCTGTCAGCATGGGGTTGTAGATTTCCATTACTAAACATTTCTAAAAGGTGTGTTTGTTATAATTTCAAGGAAAGGGGTAAAGTTCCTCTTTAAAATGGTTTTTATAGTTTTAGTTAAAATGGAAACCAGTGCTCTGAGAAGTACAGAGGCGGACCCTCTCTTCCTGAAAATGATGGTGGCAATGAATCATTGGCTAGGAACAGGTCAGGGGCTCTTTTGTTGCATGCCATATTGCAATGCTAACTTCTTAGCTGTGCACGAGCAACCAATCTCCATGTCTGTGATGTTCATTTAGCACCATGGCACACTGTTTCATGACTTTAGCACAGCCATAATGTTATACCATCACCCCACCTTTCCGAGTTCTTAAGAAAAACATTGTTTACACTAATGTATAATAAAACTTTATACAAGCTATAATGATAACATTTACACTTCAATAAAACATACCATCCCCAGTCACAGTACCTGTAAGCAACGCGCACACTAACATGAATTTACCTTCACTTGTGTTCTTAATCTTTCTCTCCCCCCTTGTGTTGTTCTTCACTCTGACTTTACCTATGCCACGCATCTTCCAAGATAGTGACTCAAACCACTAAAGTCAAAGCACCATCATGACTGCCAGGCATAAAGATTGGTTTTAGATGGTTGCCTCCATATTTCTCTCTGCATGAGGTTTCCTTTACAACCATAACTGATGGTTTAGAAAATACTCAAAAAGGAAGAATTTCACAAATATGTACCCAAGTCAAGGGATACTGGAAAATTAGCACACAACAGGTGGCACTTGATAAATATATGCACATGTTCATAGCGTGGATCAACACCACTCGAAGTGCTGGGCAATGGCCCTAGTGTTTATTAGGCTGTGGTGTGGAGCAAGGAGATGTAATTGTGTACACATGAGAATCTGATCAAATATAACATTTCCCATTACTCTTGGAAATCCAATAACAAAATCAATGGACAAAAAAAAAAACAATACAGTAACATTTAAATAAATATGAAAGTACCATAATTTGTCTTAAAGTGACACTAAACTCCGAAGTTAAATCTTAAAAGGAGAACTATGAGGTGAGTGCTTTCCACTCACCTCATAGTTCTAGCAGACCTGTGACAATGACACTGTCACAGGTCGGCTCAGTAGATCGGGAAGTGAGCGAACACATACCGGATTCGCTCACCTCTCGATCCTGTCACGGCTCCCTGCCGTGACAGGGGAGGGGCTGGATTCCCCTCTTCCCGCTCCGATCTGCCAGCGATGACTGGCAGAGCGGACGGAGGGGGCGGGTACAGCTGGCTCTGCCTCTAGATAGGATGAGCCAGCTGTCCCTCACGCAGCTGGGCGGATCTCGACATCGATGTCGGGATCCGCTCCGTCTCAGTATACCGCGAGCTGTACCTCACGGTATACTGAGCTTAGGGTAACAATTACATTCAAGTACCTGAACTATTAACAAAAATGTATCTTATTTGTGTATCACTTGGCTGTAGATCCTCCAATCATCTCTCTGAATTGCTGCTGACACTGTCCTTCCTTCTGGAGGGGGGCTACTTTTGTTCCGCATGGTCCCTGTGTGTGTTTTAAAGTGTACACCGCTCCAAGCTCACTCCTGTGAGGGACTACAATCTCAATATAAATTAGTAACCTAAACGTGAGATTGTAGTCCATCACGGGAGCGAGCTTGGAGAAGGTGAATGTATTTTTGTAATTAGCAATACCGCACAAAATCAGACATGGAGAGGGCTGCACAAGGGGGCAAATCAGATTCTGTTGCATGCACATTTGATTACAGGACAGGGATGAGCTCACCATGCTGCTGCTCACTCACTGTCCAGGAATATGCTGGAAGGATATGGCCTAGCTGCACTGCTTAACTGCAGTAAAATAAAAGCCCAGTATGGCTAGAATGTGTAAACCATTAGAATTGAATTCGCATGATACACATTGATTTGCGAGTAAAAGAGATCCCATGTAGGTATTCCAACTGCGTGGGTAATAGTAGATCGCCTAGAGTTCAGCTTAGAATGGAAATAATGTCGAGTCCAGGAGCCGGCAGGGCCCAGTCCAGGAGCCGGCAGGCCATTTTAGGTAGCCAGGAAAATCTGCTTTTATTGACATTAACAGAAAAGGCATTTGTTGCAGTTTATTTTTGGGTGCGCTGGCACTGGCTTACCACAGTCAAGGTAGGTAAATATTTCTCACTTACCTCTGAAGACTTACTACAGGGTCCATTTGAAAGAAATCGAGCAATCAAGAAGTAAAGCTCTAGGGGGAAAAAAAAAAAAAAGGAGTTAGTTTCAGAAATCAATGTGTCCGTGCTGCTTATACGGGAGTTGTACTTTAAAAGCTGTAAACACTCCTTTATTTAGATCTCCAGATGTAACATAGTAAGGCCCATTCACACACGAATCGGCCAAGCAGCTCCCGGGAAGGACAGGTGCTGCGTGTGATTAGTACGCAGCCCCATCCTTCTCTATGGGGCTACGCGGCCGTACACCGCCTTACGCTCACCTCAATTGCAGGTCCGTAGGGGTGGGGGTGAGTGTATTCATACGCCGCCGGAATGGATCCTGTATGCGTCCCGGCCAGAAAACCCGCACCCCTACGGATCTGCAATTGAGGTGAGCGTAAGGCGGTGTAGTCCCATAGAGAAGGACGGGGGCTGCGTACTAATCACACGCAGCACCTGTCCTTCCCGGGAGCGGCCCGATACGGCCGTGCACGCAGCACGGAGCTGTACATGCCGGCCGATTCCCGTGTGAATGGGGCCTAAAAGGTTGTCTCAGTTTTATGTTGTAGATTTTGCTATGCAAAGTAACCAATACCAAGAACGTAGTGCCAAACCTGCTATACAGCTCATGCACACAGGCAGAGAGTTGTGTAGCAATAAGATCATAGTGGCATCCTAAAATTTTCAGAACAGAGGGTCACGGTAGCAGCCTCTATATTCCTCTCAGGACAGGCTCACTTTAAAGTAAACCAGAAATATGGCTGCTGCCATTGGTGACCACCTTCAATGGGCAGCACAGAGGCATAGTGGGTAGCACTACTGCCTTGCAGCACTGGGGGGCGGGGGGGGGGTCTCTGGTTCTATCTGCATGTAGTCTGTTTGTTATCCCTGTGCTTGTGTGGGTTTCCTCCTGGTACTCTGGTTTCCTACCACACTCCACAGACTTGCTGGAAGGTTAATTGGCTCCCGTCTAAGGCCTCGTTCACACCATATGCAATGCGTTCCGGTCCGATTCTGGCCGGAACGCACTGCCTCACATTGCGGCTGGCTCACTTTGTCGGGCAGGAGGGGGCATGGTGGGCCATTGAAGCAGGGGTGTGGAAATTTTTTTTAAAACTACTTGTCCAAGGACTAAAGCGGGGCCCTGATCTACTTGTCCCTCATGACAATCTACTTGTCCTGATACAAAAAAAAAATTATTTTACCCAAAACCGTATTTAGCAGTGCCAAGAAGCGCTTCCCATTGGTCAGTGGCGTCAGGTGACAGCGCTGATCAGCGAGTGCTTGCAATTTGCGAGCGAAATTCAGAATACATGGCACAGTTACAGATAGTACAGCCATATTGGCGGATGGGAAGGACCGTTCCCTGAAAGGCAAGTAAAGCGGGAGGGGGAGGGGGCCGGGGCCAGATTTGAGCAGGTAATTCCATTTTACCAAATTACTTGGGAAAGTGAATTTACCTTTTAGGGCTGGTGCAGACATGGACGATCGTGTGCGGTTGCATGCAGCAGTTGCCGCACAGCCCCATTGCTTTCAGTGGAGTTACATCCGTGTGGCAATCACTGGAAAAAGTTACATGTACCTTTTTCCGCAACACGCACCATGCAGTGTTTTCAACCGTGATTTTGTCTGATTGCACGGGCGGTATTGTGGCGGGAAAATGTGCAATCTGCCAGGCGTGACTGGGGTGCCATTAGACAATAATGGCACCGCCAGCGCGATCGGCGGTGGTGTGTGATTCTGTGACCGCTAGGCCATCCACACGATATTGTGCACGATTGCCGTGTGGTAACGGATCGCCCACTCCACTCACACACACACACAAAACCCCATGCATGCAGATGGTGGGTGCAGCAGGGTTTTTATTTTTTTACATTTTATTTAACTTTTTTTTTACTTTATTGGTTATTTGTAATTCTCATTTATTTATATCTTATTTTACTTTATCGCCTTTTTATTTTTTCCATTTTTATGTATTTACGTTTGTCATTTATTTTTTTACTTTTTTTTTCTTCCCTTGACTTTAGCCCCTCTGTGAAAGCATTTGGAGGTGACAGGTTCTCTTTATTGACCCTGTCACCTCCAACACAGGAGTTCTAGCACAGCACTGTGCTCGTTCTCCTGCGACAGGAAGGCTGCATTCCTGTATCACTGCACACACGGAGCAGAGAAGCGTTCTCTGCTCCGTGCTGTAAACTAATCCAATTTGCCTGGTCCCGGGACCCCCGCAAGAGGGGGGGGACCCTGGAGAACATGGCAGAAAAGAAGCCATCGTGCAGCCAGGAGAGGTACATCGCCGGGCGCCGGAGATAGAGAGAGGGGAGGAGGAGAGGGGAGCGAGGGGAGGGGAGTGAGATTCAGGCTTGTTACAAGTTCCAGCCATTCAAAATCACTTATATGAAACGGCTCCCACACTACATTTAGCTGTGCTGCTTGCCCACAGCTGGGCTAAATGTAGAAAAATAAATACTCGCCCGGCGCCCGAAGCTGCCTGTCCTGGGCGTCGGGCAATAGGAATTCCACACCCCTGTTGAAGTGAATGGCACCGTAGCCACGCCCTCCGGCCACAATGCGATCGCCCGCACGGGATCGCAGGGCACATTGTGCCTGCAGTCCGATCAAAAAAGTTCTGCAAGCACTATTTTGGTCGCACTGGACCAGACCAAAAAAGAGAGCTGGCCGCAATGCAAGGCAATGCGTTCTGGCCAGAATAGGAGCGCACTGCATATGGTGTGAACGAGGCCTAAATTGGCCCTGTATCTATGTGTGATAGGGACCTTAGACTGATCTTCTCGATGTGAATGTGCACTATGTAAAGTGCTGTGTAAAATTGTCAGCGCTATATAAAAACCTGTAATAAATAAAATATAAGTTGACCAGCTATTTTGCCCACCTAGTACTTTAGGTTACAAACCCAGAACAAGGATGAAATCCAGGAAAGAATAATCTGCGCACTTGTTTTAGATTAGTCACTTCGAAAACTGAAGCCAGAGGATTAAATAGTCAGCGAGGCAACTAGCATTTGTAGAATGTGAAATGGGCAATGGAAGCCTTCAAAACTTTATCCGTACCAGCCATCTGGGCATTTCACAGGCTGCGGCCCACATCCGGCCCTTTGGCTGTCTGTCTGGCCGTGGTCTGGACGGGGACTAAGCACAGGCCGGTGACAGTGGATGCACCAGCCTCCATGGCACGTGAATCCACTGCAAGCCATAGCCAAGCACAGGCCCCCTCCTCTACGCACATCTATGCGCGTGTTGTACAGCAGTGTGAATGAGGCCTAACAAGAAATTAAAACTTTGTCTACCATTTTGAATGATCAGCAGTCTTCCTCATACAACTCAGATTATTTATAACATTTATCAGAGTAAAGCCTCATACACACAGCGCTATTATGTGCGGCTGGGGATTCCTGTAACAAGAACCAGCGTATTCTTTCAGCAGGAATCCCAGGTGGGTGCGTACAGATGTGTCCACCACGCCCGTCCTATGAAGTGAATGGGAGGATGACAGTGATCACATCTGTCCGTGTCTGTCCACATGTAACCATACATGGGATGATTACACAAGGTTTGGGATAGATTTTTGCCCCTTTACACAATCTGTCTGCCTCCAGGGACAAGCATAATACCGATCCGCAGGTAATCAATCATTCTTGTACAAATACATGCTGACAGACAGATGTGGCCCTTCAGCCGTCCAATCAAAGCAATCAGGTGTGAGCAGGGTCAGATTAAGAGCATCACGGTCCTGGTGCGGAGGATTTTGGTGGGCCTTTTTATGGAAATGGTGATGGTCACCGGGGCCCTCTTCCTCCTGTCCGGGCTGTGATTTTCACTTGGGGCGGCGCTGGGCCCAGCTTGGGGCGGCGCAACACAGCTTGGGTAGGCTCAGTCCAGGTCAGCTCGGCTGCAACCCTCTCTTATGTTAATCCGGCCCATGGTCTACATTACCATGAAATACAGTTTGACTGAAAATGTCAGACAATGGCAGTGCGCTTTCTATTGAATCTGTACGGTTGTACAAAGATTCCCAGTCTGGAGAGAGCTGCAAAGCCATTGATATCGGAGGTTCCTCTGCAGCAGGATTGTATCCTTTGGAATTATGAGCACGGATACAAGCTATCGGCTCTTCATTAAGCAAAGTCCAGCCAAAAGCCTCATACATGTGTAGACTTCAGATGACATTTCTTCCACTTTGATCAATCAATTAGCCCAAAAACTTTTGAGAAGCAGCACTTTGTTTCTGCTGCAATAATACATCAGTGTACACGGTTGTGGGGAAGAGAGTTGTTTAACCACTTGCCGTCCGCCCGTTGTAACAAAACGGACGGACGGCACTGCAGCATTGGCGGGTTGCCTAATGTTTAACTCCCCCACCCCCACGTTTACGCGCCTATAAACTTAAATATGCGCCCGGGCCCCAGCGCGCAAAACCGACAATTGCGCTACACATGTTACATATCGCCGAGAACGTCGCAGTGAGAGCAATCATTTTAGGGCCATCAATCACTGATAACACTAAACTGATGAGCGGTAACAGCTTTTAAAGCGTCGCCTATGGCCAATTTTGGGTATTATTGTTTTTTTTAGGTTTCGCGCACGCACGCAATTTTGAGGCTTGACATGTTTGGTGTCTTTTTACGCGACGTGACCCCATCTTTCATATTTTACCAAAAAATTGGGTAATAAATGTTTTATCATTTAATATAGGGGAAACAGTTTTGTTTTTTTAAAATTTCGGTAATTTTTCCTTAATATAGTAAAAAATAAAATGGTGAATAAATACCACCAAAAGAAAGCTCTATCTGTCCCCAAAAAAGGGTATAAAATTCATTTCAGTACAGCGCTGCATGACGGAATAAATGTCAAAGTACCGCAGCGCTGAATACTGAAAAATGGCCTGGATGGGAAGGGGGTTTAACACCGCGGATGTCAACTGGTTAATGAACTTTTATACAGAAAGACAAATCTGTGTATACATGCAATACACAAGACTGAATATCCATCAATTCTACAAA